AATAAAATCTTAAAAAAAAAAAAAAGATTTTATTTATTTATTTGAGAGAGAGAAGGGGAGTGAGAGGGAAAAGCAGACTCCCCTCTGAGCAGAGAGCCCGATGTGGGACTCAATCCCAGGACCCTGAGATCATGACCTGAGCCGAAGACAGATACTTAACTGACTGAGCCACCCAGGCATCCCAAATTTGCTTTCATTCTTTTACCTACCTTTGAATATTGTGCCTCCCCACACCACAAAATAAAAAAGGGAGAAAGTCTGCCCTAGGAACAGAACAGTGTTATGGGGGCGGGGTGCTTGGGGGGGATGAGATGTAGGCCTTAAGGTTCTGCTTCTCAAGGTATTCCTGGTTTATCATGGCTTCTTAGGCAGATCTTTGCTCCTATTATGCCACACCTCATTTATTCATAAGAAGTCTATTAATCTCAGTGCTACCTTTAAGGAATGAGAATAATGGAGGGGAAGTACATTGTGCTTTGGGGTTTTTTTGTTTTGTTTTGTTTTTAGAGAGCGCACACACACACACATACGCCCGCAAGGGTGAAGGAGGGGCAGAGCGAGAGGCAGAATCTTAAGCAGGCTCCACACCCAGCCTTGCCGGTTGTGAAAGCTCAATCTCAAAACCCTGAGATCATGACCTGAGCCAAAATCAAGAGTCAGATGCTTAACCCATCTGAGCCACCCAGGCGCTCCATGTTGTACTTTGAATGATCAGCGGAAAAATGAGCATCATAGGGAGGAATCTTACTGATTTCTTCCATTGACATGTGATTCTTAATAACTTATCCAGTGGAGGGAGGAAAGAAGCACAGAGATCCTTAGCCAGCCATCTCCTAATACTTAGTAAATTGTTAGACAAAAATGGGCAACAAAAATGAGCCGTGTCATCAGATCTTTCCTCTTTCTTTTGGGTCCTGTCTAGGTGAAAAAAGCCCTTTGTGTACTCATCCAACATAACCTGGTGATATATCAAGTGCACAAACGTGGTGTAGTGGAGTATGAAGCCCAGTGCAGCCGGGTATTGCGAATGCTTAGGTATCCCCGGTACATCTATACTGCCAAAACACTGTATAGTGACACTGGAGAGCTCATTGTGGAGGAGCTGCTATTGAATGGCAAAATGACAATGTCAGCTGTTGTGAAGAAAGTGGCAGACCGACTCACGGAGACTATGGAAGGTCAGTACTGTATCCATAGCTGTTAGCAAAAGCATAGATTGGCTGGCTGCAGGACTGCACCCTCAGCTAACTTAGGCCATCTCATCTGCCTCTTTCCTCCTGTTGTACAGATGGCAAGACCATGGACTATGCTGAGGTATCAAACACATTTGTGCGGCTAGCAGACACACACTTTGTACAGCGTTGCCCCTGGGTGCCTGCCACTGAGAATTCAGACCCGGGGCCACCGCCACCTGCCCCCATTCTTGTCATCAGTGAAAAGGACATGTACCTGGTTCCTAAACTGAGCTTGATCGGTAAGGAATTTTGACCCCTGGGACTGTGGATTCTTCCTCAATGATTGTTAAATGAATGAATGAATCAATCAAGCAGTTACCGTGAATTTACCCTGTGCCAGATACTGTGGTGTAAAATGATGGGGAAAAAAAAAAACCAAGTCCCTGACCTTTTGGGGCTTAAACCTAATGTAATCTAATTAACTTACATTAATCAAATAACCGCATAGATATATAACTATAAACTGTGATTAGTACTATGAAGGAAAAGTATGAGGTGTTTTTTTTTCTTTTAAGATTTTCTTTATTTATTCATGAGAGGCAGGCGGGGGGAGGCAGAGGCAAAGGGAGAAGTAGGCTCCTCATGGAGCAGGGAGCCCCATGGGGCTCCTGGGATCAGAACCTGAGCTGAAGGCAGACGCTTAACTGGCTGAACCACCCAGGCACCCGAAAAGTATGAGATGTTATTAAAATATATAACAGGGGACCAGACTTATCAGGGTTTAGAGCACATGCTTCTTTGAGAAAGTGGCATTTAAGCTAAGATTTGAAACAGAGGTAGGAACTAACCAGTGAAGTAATGTATGAAGGGGTACAGAGGATAAACATTTTTGGCAAAAGGAATAGTGTGCAGTGAGAAAAAAATAGGATATTTGGGGAAGTAAATATGGGTCAGTGTAGTTAAGGCATGGTGAGCGACGAGAGCCATGCAATAAGGATAGAAAGGCAGGGGCTAGATCATGCAAGACCTCATACAGCATCTGTTCTTTATCCTAAGAGCAAAGGAAAACCACTAAAGGATTTAAAGAACGTGACATGATCTAATTTGCATTTTTAAAAGATTTTTCTGCTTGCAGAAAGGATGGGGCGAAGGTAAAATGTAGACAAACCCAGTGAAAAATTAGATACAGAAAGGGTGAAGGAGACAGGGATACCAAGAATGACTGTGTGTCTGACTTGCATGTTGGGGAGGATGATGGTCCCACTCACTGAAAGGAAGCATTTGGAGCAGGAGCAGTTTGAGGGAGAAAGATTAGAACTTTCTTTTTTGAATATGTTGAGCTTCAAATGATTTCATCATTGCCTTGGAATTTCTTGTAGCTCCTTGGCAATTTTAACCTAGAGGCAGCTGGAGATGTCTTGGGATGGAGGGACACCTGCTCTGAGGTTCAGTGATTTCCTGTATTCATATGAGATGTAACCTAGCTTTATTTGGCAGGGAAAGGTAAAAGGAGAAGATCATCTGATGAAGATGCTGCTGGGGAGCCCAAAGCCAAGAGACCAAAATACAGCACAGATAACAAAGAGGTAATGGGACTAGGAGTCCTCATCCTGAGGCAAGGCAGAAAGAGCACTAAGATAACAAGTTTACAAGGGAGTTTACAAGGTTGAGAAGTAGTAGGATTATGAACTTCATTAAATATTGACCAAGAATAAACAAAATGTGAACTCCATTGCTGTCTCCCTTCTGAGGCTTAACTTACTTCAGTCATTGGACAGACGTAATGGCTTATGCCAAAAAAAAAAAAGGCCTTCTGTTTTCTCTCTATGAAATAAGAGGCAAGGTCATGTGCTCAGAGCAGGAAGAGAGGGTAGGTGGGAGACTTAAGGATACTGGAGAAGAGTTCAGATAAAGATTAGAAATGAGTTTAGAGAATCTGAAGTTGGGTATTATGAATTTGTCTTGTCAAGGCACTAATCCACATGATTAAATGATTTTTTTTCTACCCCATGTAGTTGCTACTGAATAAGAAAAGGAATAGTGAACAGTTAAATCCAAGCTCCTCACCAGAAAACTCACCATATTCCCTGTATCTAAATGTTTCTCTCTAATCCTTTTCCCCTCCCCAGCCCGTTCCAGATGATGGGATTTATTGGCAGGCCAACCTTGACAGATTCCACCAGCACTTCCGTGACCAAGCCATTGTCAGCGCAGTTGCCAACAGGATGGACCAGGTGATATCTAAGTGGGTGGGATGGTGGCCTGAATCAGGAACATTCACTTATTTGCCAGATGTGGCCATTGGCATATAGCCAGAGCCAGCCAGCAGAGTGAATTCTGAATTGCAGTTCACTTTTCAAACCCAGACCAGCAGCGAGGTCGTGCGGACCATGCTTCGGATGAGTGAGATTACCACTCCCTCTACTGACCCCTTCACCCAGCCACTGTCTTCCAATGAGGTGATTTTCATGTTCATGTACTACTTTTCTGACAGACTGTTGGATATTTTAATTCTTATACACAGAGCCTGGGTTTAGGTTGAGGTCTGAGCCTTTGGAAGAGTTTTTATTATTTGAGGTGGGACAGGGATTCTCTTCAGATGGTAGGTACTGAAATATTTGGTCTCTGGGGATCCATCCCTTAAGAACCTAAACCAAAAAAGTGCTCAACATTGCTCGGCATCAGGGAAATCCAAATCAAAACCTCAATGAGATACCACCTCACACCAGTCAGGAAATGACAGATATTGGCGGGGATGCGGAGAAAGGGAAACCCTCCTACACTGTTGGTGGGAATGCAAGCTGGTGCAGCCACTCTGGAAAACAGTATGGAGGTTCTTTAAAAAGTTGAAAATAGAGCTACCATACGATCCAGCAATTGCACTACTGGGTATTTACCCCGAAGATACAAATGTAGGGATCCGAAGGGGTATGTGCACCCCGATGTTTATAGCAGCAATGTCCACAATAGCCAAACTGTGGAAAGAGCCAAGATGTCCATCGACAGATGAGTGGATAAAGAAGATGTGGTATATATACACAATGGAATATTATGCAGCCATCCAAAAGAATGAAATCTTGCCATTTGCAATGACGTGGATGGAACTGGAGGGTATTATGCTGAGCGAAATAAGTCAAACAGAGAAAGACATGTATCATATGACCTCACTGATATGAGGAGTTCTTAATCTCAGGAAACAAACTGAGGGCTGCTGGAATGGTGGGGGGTGGGACGGATGGGGTGGCTGGGTGATAGGTATTGGGGAGGGTTTGTGCTATGGTGAGCGCTGTGAAGTGTGCAAGACTGTTGAATCACAGATCTGTACCTCTGAAGCAAATAATACATTATATGTTAAAAAAAAAAAAAAAGAAGAAGATAGCAGGAGGGGAAGAATGAAGGGGGGGTAATCGGAGGGGGAGACGAACCATGAGAGACTGTGGACTCTGAAAAACAAACTGAGGGTTCTAGAGGGGAGGGGGGTGGGAGGATGGGTTAGCCTGGTGATGGGTATTAAAGAGGGCACGTTCTGCATGGAGCACTGGGTGTTATATGCAAACAATGAATCATGGAACACTACATCTAAAACTAATGATGTAATGTATGGTGATTAACATAACATAATAAAAAAAACATATACCCCCCCCAAAGAAAAGAACCTAAACCATTTTCTTAGTCAAAGTACAAGCTATTCCTAATTGTTCTAAGAATCCACTATTTGTAATCTGAGAACCTTTGTTGGTGCTCAAAACGTTATTTGGCCCCTTATATTTGTTTTGTTCAGTATACTAATTTTGTGTATTTTAAATTTGTTTTTAATATACCTGTTTCTTAAAACATGAATATTTAATGTATCAAATACATTTTATTTATATTTCATAATTATATTTATCCATATTAAATATAGTTATATTTTCATTTTATATTATTTTAAAAATTTTAAACTTATTATATAACAAAAATTTCAGGGCTTTTTTCTTTCAACAAAAGTAATTACATGGGCGCCTGGGTGGCTCAGTTGGTTAAGCGACTGCCTTCGGCTCAGGTCATGATCCTGGAGTCCCTGGATCAAGTCCCGCATCGGGCTCCCT